CCTAAAATATATAACATCTGGATGGGAGCACATGCTGTTTTAGACCCTGAAGATGTCCAGATGCTGCCTTTGCCAAAGGCACTAATGCACCCCCATACCATCTGAGAGGCAGTTTTGAACTGATAACTGGCTGAATATCATACACCTTGGTGGTTTTTCTAAATATAAATATTTCCCACTGGAATCCACTTTTCTTTGTACAACTTTGAAATAAATGACCTCACATTTTTATGAAGGACTTTTTTGAAATTATGCACAAAAACAAATCGGACGTCTGTTACTGCGACCGGAGACAACATCAACCTACAAGACGGTAATTTTCTTTTGAAGGTTTTCGTTTGACAGTATTTTATTTCCCGGCGACCTCACCAGCTGGTCATGGCCGTGCCCTTCAAGGTCTGCTGTTTGCCAGGAGGTACTCGGTGACGGGGTTTGGTGGATTTCACAGGGTTAGAAGATGCAGCGGTCAGAAAAATAAACAGCAAAACAATTTGTTTTGTTGGAGCTGAGCCAAGTTGAACCTGATTATTAGCATAAACTCAAAAAGCCATCCATCATCTTTACCCGCTTCTTCCTTTTGGGGTCACTGGTGCTCATGTCCACCTATCACTGTGCATCACTGTGCGAGAGGCGGGGGACACCCTGGACAGGTCTCCAGTCCATCACAAGGACACATAAAGAAGAAGGAGAAAACCCACACATGCACAGAGAGAACATGCAGACTCCATCCAGAAAGGCCCCCCCAGCCGGGATTTGAACCAGCGACCTGCTCGCTGAAAGACAACAGCTCTACCAACTGCACCACCGTGTTGCCCCAACTCAAAAAAACTTTTTTTATTTTTTTTATTTTGTGGGCGTGACAAATACCAGGTTGCGTCAGTAATCATGTGATCTTAACTCTGGTATGTGATGCTTCTTGAGTTGTTTGGGATTAAAACATGTTGGTCTTCTGGACCAACAAGATGGACATGGGGAGTGTTTTGGTCACATTTATCAAGATGTTGTGAAATCAACTGCGGAGGAAGGGCTGCAATTTGCTCATCCCCTCGATTTAATTGTTTTAATACGAATAAATTCAGCCTAAATCTCCCACTCGTACAAAACAAAACAAACAAAAAAAACAAACCCTAGAAGGTTTTTAAATGAGAAACGAAACATCATCAGAAATGTAGAAAGATCATCTATAAAGTCCTTCTGCTTCATTTAGGCCCTGAGGAATCCCCTGCTCTGCACTAATGTAAAACATGTTTTATTTAATATACTATCAGTCTAGAGCAACCATCACAGTTACAGTGTTACAATTTTTGATTAAGTTCATAGAAAATGTTTAAATTATGATGAAGAGCACAAACATATAGGAAAATTTGCCTTTAAACAGTAAAATCCCAACATAAAATTTAAGCTTTATTTTACCATCTCATGCCGATTAGTATCATTTCTGTCACTTGGGACTAAATTATCCCGAGATAATCCAAAAAGGAGCAACTCCTGAACAGAAACCAGTGCTTGAAGGTAGAAGCAGTTTAATGGTTTGCTGCTGCTGGGCTCTAAGGTTCATGTTGTTGTTGTGTAACGCACATTTTTACCTTCACAGTGAATTGTTAAACATGAACTTTAATAATTCAGTCACTCTGGATGATCCTACATTTGAAATGTGTGGAATTGCAGCCATAAAAAGGCCAATTTAACCATTACGACTAATCTGCAATAAATTGGAAAACGAAATATTCCACAATCAGTATGATCAAAGCGATTTTTGCTTTATGTTGTTACATCATATAAGCAAGACTGTGCAAGAACGCTGCCGGGCTTGTTTCTGACAAACCGTTTGACAAATTGTAATCTGCTGCAATATTTTTTTGCCATAAAAAGAACATGCGTGGACGCAAAACTTCAAAGAGACTGCGTGTGTGCATGTTTACTCGCTATTTAATTGTACAATTTTTAAAAGCTGTGTCAACTTAAAGACTTTAATTAATTTACTGTCTGTGCCAGTTATCAATTAATAAAATGCATTAAGATTCAGTTAGAAGACAAAAAGAAAAACAAATAGGATGAAACGATCATAAAACAGACAATTTAAAAAAAAAATCGTGAATTCTGACAGTTTTAAAACTTTATTAAAACACAAAAGACTTTCACTCTAATTGCTCAGTGCTGTGTTTGATGTAAAAAACAAAAATTAGTTTGAATTGTTTATTATCATGTGAACTTACAGGAAAGCAAGTCATTCCCATCCAATATTATTTGGGGTGCCATTTGTAAAGTTATAGAGTCAAAAATTAACATCAATATTTGGTTTATTTAGCCTTTAATAAAAAAAATTTTTTTTTTCAAAGTCATTATTTCATCATGTTATACATTTATAGACATCATACTGTAGTTCCAAACTAAATATTTAATTTACAAGCTAAATATTTAGTTTAAAACTAAATACTTAACTTGAAAGTTAAATATTTAGTTAGTAAACTAAATATTTAGTTGTAAATTAAATGTTTAATTTACAAGATAAATATTTATTTTCAAAACTAAACATTAAATTTCTAAGCTAAACATTTAATTTCCAAAATAAATACTTAATTTACTAACTAAATATTTAACTCTCACCTAAATATTTTACTTGCAAGCTAAATATTTAGCTTGCAAGTTAATTATTTAGTTTGCAACTTAAATATTTAGTTTAGAAATTAAATGTTTAGCTTACAAATTAAATGCTTAGTTTGGAAATTAAATGTTTAGTTTGGAAATTAAATATTTAGCTTAGACAATAAATATTTAGTTTGAAATATAAATATTTAGTTTTGAAAATAAATATTTAGCTTGTAAATTAAATATTTAGCTTGTAAATTAAATATTTAGTTTGGAACTATGACATTTATAAATGTATGAATAACATGGTGAAAATGACTGAAAAAAAAAAAAAAACAATTTTTTTCGTATTAGAGGCTAAAACAACCAAAATATTGATGTTAATTTTTGACTGTGTAACTTTACAAACGGCACCCCATAATGCATTACATTTTAAATCACACTAAGAATCATTTGCTGTAGTTTTCACATCATTCATGAGCAGCACTTAACACTACAAGGTGCATTTTATCACAAAATTATATTTAAATGTCAAAGAACTGTTAAAGTAAATCCATTCAATCCTGCACGTTATTGGTTTAGCTACAACGTTCTCCAGCTTTATCTCAACTATAGGTTTGGAAACAGGTTTAAAACACAAAATAAAAAAGATAATGATATATCCTAAATATAAAAAATGTTTTTGTGGAGTTTTACCGTACTTTCCGCCATACACATTGCACCTCCGTATAAGTCACATCAGTCCAAAAATGTCTAATAAAGTGGGAAAAGCATAAATAAGTCGATTCGCCATATGCGACGCATCTATTATGTGTCATCGCTGGCTCGTCACATTTGTTATGCTTCACCGCTGATCACCCGAAAACGTGGGCCAGTGTTGTGACAAAAATCTATTGGAAGCCAAATGGCGGCTGCGGAAGTGTGCACGAGAGGACCCTGACAAGAATTTAACAAGATTAACATTTAAAAACAATTATTTGTTTGCTCGAAATAATAGCAAAGGTGTGTCTCAGTTCAACTTTTCCTTAATAAATACACGTTAATTGTCAAATGAGCTGCATTTAACACGTCAATTTGTGGAAGCGGGAGAGTGTAGAGGGAGGACTCGCTGTGCATTTCGCTGAAATTTAACAAGATAACCGCCTATAAACAATTATTTGTTTTCTCGACGTTATAGCAAAGGTGTGTTTCAGTTGAACTTTTTTCTTAATAAATACACTTTAATAGTCAAATCATCTGCATTTCACCTGGGCGGCAAAATGCAGATGATTTGACGTTTGCTCCAGGAATTCCAGAGCGAGACGAAGGTGGCTTTGTAAGGCAAGCCAAGTGTCTCATTAATAGCCACTTTTACCTATTAATGAGACACTTAGCTTGCCATAGTAGTCAAGGGTCCTCTAGTGGCTGAAAATGGTAGTGTTCAATATTTTCCATGCCAGAATGAATGAAATCGTCAGATCTCAGCCAAAAATTGGGTTATAAATATGGTGGGGGGAATCATACATTAGTCGCTTCAGTGTATAAGTCTTGCCAAATTATGCAAAAAGGTGCGACTTACACAACGAAAAATACGGTAATTAAATTACTGCAGTCCTCCACATTTAAAGTGTACCTGTTGGGTTTAACCTTTTACGTAGACACTAAAGCTAAGCTAATCTTGACTAAACTCACTTTTCTGCAAACATTCAGTAAATAGTCTACAACTAAATTGATAAAATTAAATAAAATGTATAAAGATGCTTGACTAAATGTAATATACAAAGACAAATGGCTCAGTGTTGGAAAAAAGAAACGGAACAACAGAAAACACGAGCAACAAGACCTAAAATAGACAAGTGAAAATGGCGCACCGTTCTGCTAACTTGGTCAAAGAGAAAAACAATAAATGCTCACACTTCAGTTTATCTCTGGGTTATTAATAAACACAATTATATATTGGTTTTCTCATTCACGATGGCAGCCAAGCAGAAAAGCACAACTGCTCAAATCATTTATTTAAGAAGTTGCTTTTTCTGTCTGTACCATAAGTGGCTAACAAAAGGTAGCAGGTTTCCAGAAACATCAACAAGGTTTTTTTTTATAAATTGTTTTTTTTTTTTTAATCTTAACATTACTTTCTTAAACTACACAGTTCAAAAGCTTTTTTTCATTGGAAAGGGTGTGGAGCAGCCAGCTCCACGACTAAACGTTAAACAAGTCTATCAAGTGTATTCCTGAGATCTAGCCAGCTGTTTATTGTCAGTAATGGTTCATCAAAGCAGCGAAACATGGCTTTACTTATCAGTCTTGTCTTTGCTCATTTCCCTATTTTGCTCCAAGCGTTTCCTTGTTGTGTCTCCCAACTCAAACGGCGGAAAATGTCAAGCGACATGACGCAAGTCATCGGTTTTAGGTTAAAAATGGAGGCCCCTTCACACCAGGAACCTGTTGGTGCTCACATATCTGCCACTCTTGCTCTTGTGGCTAAAGCTGGACGATTTCTTGCTGCTTCTCAACGAACTTTGCTTTAGCTTCCCAGGGGTGGCGACGCTGTCCGATGCTCCTCCAGGTCTCTCCTCCGACTCCGATTGTTTGAGGTTGTGGAGACTGTGGCAGGAGTGCTCCTGGGCGAGGGGCTCCGGCCTGGTGCAAAACCACTTCACGGAGCTGTGGAAAAGCTCAGCACAGCTGGAAACGCCTGATATCACCCCTACAATGAAGTAGAAGCAGAGGAAGACTGTTTTCTCTGCAGGACGAGAGGTGAAGCAGTCCACTGTGTAGGGGCAAGGAAAGCGGCTGCAGGGGAACTGCGCCTCCACCTTGAAGCCATAGAGCTGCCACTGGCCCACTAAGAAGCCTACCTCGGCCACAATCCGGAAGATCACATTTATAATATACAGCCTCCTGAAATGGGCATCTTCTCTGTAGCTCTGTGTGCCAGCTCGGCTGCCTTTGGGGAGTCTAGTTCTCTTGTTGTGATGATGTTGTGCATACATGAGGAAAAGCAGAGAAGGCGTAGCGATGAGGACTATATGAAACACCCAGAACCTGTACTGGGAGATGGGGAAAGCCATATCGTAACACACCTGCTTGCAGCCCGGCTGGAGGGTGTTGCAGGCAAACTCCTCTTGTTCATCCTCAAACAGATCACTGGCCACGGTCCCCAGGATCAGGATCCGAAACACGAGCATGAGCAGGAGCCAGAAGCGACCGAGCATCGGCGAGTGGGCCTGAAGGCTGTCGAAAAGACCCCCGAGGAAACTCCATTCACCCATGGCCGCCGCGTTGTCAGAAATGACTTGGAGGAAACCTGAAGGCGTCTTCACCCGAACCTCTCAGAGCAGAACCCGTCTGATTTAAACAGAAACTAAAACATAAAATTCAACTTGTAACTCCGGAAACAAAGTCAGCAAACGTGGGGCGAAGGTTGGGTTAAGGGTTCGACTCCGCAGCGTTAACGGACCTGAAACCAAAACAGAACTTTAGAAAAGGTGCCAAAGCAATTTTAATCAGCTATAAAATAATAAAACTGGCTTTTATGAACACTTCTGGGAATGTCACCATTCAGACGTTGCAAACAGCTGGATTCAAATGGTATTCAGAAAACTAACTGGGAATTAAGGTAGAAGACAGTAGAAATTTGTTAAGAACTCAGATTGGTCATACATTATATATACGTTAAAAGTATAGCTGTTTATTACCGACGTTACTTGTGAAACTTTCTTAGAGCCAAAATGTTACAATACCTTATAGAAGCCAGCTTGACACCTGTTTTCTCCTCATGTGTCCAGACAAAATATCTCAAAACACCTGGAATTAACCACAAGGAAGATCTGGAGTGAAACCAAATCAAAGCTAGATGGTGGTGCTTGTCGCGTCTGAGTCGACTCCTTTCCAAATGACACGAGATTCGAGTTTTGTCAGGGTTTATAATTGGGAGGGCGGATAGGAAATTCCTTCTCCACCCTAATCTGCATCCAGAGGCCATGTTTACCAAAGAGAGGCAGCTCTCTCCAGACGTTTCAAAGGGCTTCTGAAACGGCAGGAAGGATTTGTTTTCAGCTGTGCCCGTTTCCCTGATCACAGCAGATAAGTTGAGAACATGTGACCACGATTAAATAAAATTTTAGAACGTGTTGAGAATCAGAGGCATCTACTGACTGGAACAAGTCTTAAATTTCATTCAGTTTAAATGTTGTTCTTGTCTGAACCTGTTTCATGCAACCTCTAGATACAGGTGAAGGACCTCTGAATCAGGCATCTACAACCTTTTTGATCAAAGAGCCATTTCTGCCCTTTCACTCATTAAACAAACTTTTTTTTTTAAAGCCCGGAGCCACAAAACCTGCTCCAACTGTGATGATCAACTGGTGGCCCATGGGCGACTTTGAGCTAGCTGGAGGGGGATTTTCTGGTAACAGTTTAAAACTGATAATTAATTTAAACATTTATTCATATTTTTACATTTTGGGACTCACACACACACACAAAAGATTTAAAGTAAAAACTTTTAGTTTCTACCTTAGATCACACGTGCCAAACTCAAGGCCCCGGGGCCAAATGTGGCCCTTGTTGACATCTTATCTGGCCCCCAAGATGATGTGTTAAATGAAAACTACTTTTATCACTTGAATTTTTTTCAGTAATCTTTGATTATGATGTCAAAAGTGCAACAGAGAATGTCAAATGAGACCAAACAAACTTGTTGAGGAACTTGCAACCAAGAAAAGATGTTCCTATTGTCCAGTTTTAAGATTGGGCTTAAGACTTTCCTTTTTTGATAAATCCTATAGTTAGGGTTGGCTTGGTATGTTGTAAACAACAAAGTCCATGCTCATTAATCCAGGTATAAAATCCAACATTTTTTCAGTCAGGTCATCTGGACAGTTTTTTTTGTGCTGAAACGTTTCGCCTTCGATCCAGAAGGCTTCATCAGTCAAGGAAACAACACAAAACTGATTCTTCCCCCAACAGCTTACTCCAAAGTGGAACAAACCAGTTCTGCTTGTTTCACAAGTAACATCAGTAATAAACAGCTATACTTTTAACATACATATAATGTATGATCAAGGTTTGTTCCACTTTGGAGTAAGCTGTTGGGGGAAGAATCAGTTTTGTTGCGTGTTTCCTTGACTGATGAAGCCTTCTGGATGAAGGCAAAACATTTCAGCACACACAAAAATAAAGAAACTGTCCAGAAGACCTGACTGAAACATGTTGGACTTATGTCTTAAGCTTAAGACTACCAGACACAAATTGACCTCATTTCCTTAAAGTAATTTTTCATTTGATACTATTTCTCTTAACATGTGATTCTTGACCTGCCATTGTGTATCTGTTCCAGACCCAGCAGGTTGAAGCAGATGTCCACTTGTCCTGAACCTGGTTCTGCTAAAGGTTTCTTCCTCACGAGGGAGTTTTTTTTCTTTCCACTGTTGCCTTCATGCTTGCTCAAGAGGAGAGTTCTGTGATGGAGTTAAAACTCAAAGCAGTCTGCTCCTCAGATAAATTATGTTAAATTATCATTTTTATACATGAAAGTTTCTGTTCAGATGACTTCTGTTGCGACTTGGCGCTATATAAACTGAATTTCTAACTTGAGTTAATGTAGATTCTGAAACTGGCCCTTATTTTGAAAAAGTTTTAATTTGGGCCCTTTGGGTTTTGACAGCTCTGCTTTAGATGAAAACGCTGAACCCTGCAGGTCTTTTCTGTAAGAAACAAAGTATCCCACGTTAATGTACCGGGAATAAAGCAAGTGACGTTCAAACTTTTGCAGAAAATTGACAAAAACAACAAAAAAAGCCAAACCTAGCCTTTTTGGTTGTGGGTATAACAGAACAATTAAAATGTCCTGTAAGTTTTAGTCAAAGGTTGCAGGTACCTGCGCAACTGAAGCTCCTCCCTCCTTTAAAGAGCTGAAATACCTGTTGGGATTTGTAGCCCGAAGGAAAACTATTCAGTAAACGGATACAAATTTTATTTTCTTTTATAAAGTGTAACACAAACAGCCAGTCAAATATTTACAACACATAGAAAATTAAATGACAGAAGTCACTTTAAAAGACTTATGGGATCATTTTTGAACTTGTAAAAAAACCAAAACAGAATTCAACTTTTTTTTTGGTAAATTCTTTTTTAACTACAGCAAGTGGCTCAAACAGGAGCTCTAAAATCCTTCAAGCTGCAGCAGTCAATAAAAGTGATATCAGGTTAATAACAGAAGAAAAGGTTTACTGAAACTCCTACGATCAACGCCACAGAACCTAAAACATGTGCAGTAACTCAGTCTGAGTCAGAGTCTGAGTCCAGGTTGTAGGTGATGGGTTTCCTGGCACGCGTGGGTTTGTTCCGCGGTGCAACGGCCGCCACAGCTGCCGTTTCTTGGTCTGAAACCTGGAAGCTGTCATCCTCATCCCATTTCTTGTTTTTCTAGAACAGAACATAAATAGGTGTTAAAAGAAAGTACAACACAAACGAATGGCTAAATGAAGACTCGGTGCCTCCTAACCTTGTTGCCGGCGGTAATTTTAGCCTTGAGCCGTGACATGAGGTCGTTTGAACTGCTGTCTGACTCGTCACTGACTGCTTGTTTCCGTTTCAAAGCAGGCTTGGTCTTTGGAACCGGAACCTCATCGCCCTCTGAGTCACTGGAGTTAAATGAAGGCACCTTTTTGACAGCTGTGCTGGATGCAGGTTTGGACTTTGAGAGAGCATCCAAGATGGATGGCTGCTTCACGTCTGAGGAAAATCATAAATCATGGAAAAATTCACGTTAAGAAAATGTAAATAAACTAGTTTTCTTTTTTTCCTCAAGCGTAATTTTATCGTGAATAATTATCCTTCATACAGATCATGGAATCGCACTGCAACTTGAACATTTTCCTCATAATTTATTACTAAGAACATGAGTACATGCAAATCACAACGAGGAGATAAGAGATGACTAATACCTGCTGCCTTCTTTTTGGAAGCGGCTGCTTTCTTGGCAGGAGCAGCTTTCTTTGGCGTGGCCTCTTTGGTGCTTTTCTGTTTCGCAGCCTTGGGTGCAGCGTCATCAGACGGGGCTGTAGTTTTATAAAGTTAAAATAATTAGTCAGTCTTCACTTTGATGGTTCGTTCTGAGCTAATGATGCACAATAAGTACTTACAGCTCGACTTGGTTTTGGTTTGTTTAACAGTTTTTGTCTTCGCTGCCATTTTCCTGTACAGACATTGTAAAATTAAGAAGGCAGGTTTACAAAAAGAAAAGTCCTTTTCGCTCAAAGGCTTGTACTTACTTGGGTTCTGGCGCTTTGGGAGACGGAGCTGGAGCGTTCCCATCACTATCGGACATGGCGCTGGGCTCTGGGGCAAAGCTTGTGTCATCATCATCATCGACGATCGCCTTCCTTTTGGGAGCGCTCTTCTTGTCCCAGTCATCAAACTCTTCTTCACTGTCAGACAGGCTGTACTTGACTGGAGCTTCAAAATCAGAAAGGCACCTTTAGTAAAACGTCATCTAGAAAAGTACTTTAAACAAACTTAAACTGTTCCTGCAATCAAAGCTAATGAGATACTGGAAACCTCTTGTATCTGATCGACGCTGGAGAAATACTCTGAATGTTGATTGGCCAGATTAGCATCATTATGACCCGACAAATGCCTCAGTCTGATATGACCGTGGATTACAGCAGAAACTATTCTTTAGACTCAAGTTGTTGGATTTTTTACACCCAGAAGAGGCAGTATACTGTGTACATGACCTTAGTCAAAGTGCAGTACACATGAGCTTACAAGTACAGTATACGGTGTACATAACATTAGTAAAAGTACAGTATACTGTACATGACCAACATCGTTCTGAAGGAAAAGGAGTTTTGAACAACTTTTCTGTAGTTTACTTTTAGGCGGGTTGTCAGATTTTAATAAATAATAACGTAGAAAGTCCTTTGAAGCGTACAAATTTATTATTTTTTCATCTTCTGGACTAACATTTCTCCCCTAAAATGATCATTTCATTCAAAGGGATTATATTTACAGGATTTCAACTTGTGTAGTTATTTAATACTATTTATTTTTCATATTTGATCATTTATTAAATTACATTGATCACAGTAGTTGGTATGTTTCTAAATATAATCGAGTTTAGCTCATCCGAACAGCCACACCTTGTTGTTGTTGCTAAAACAACATGTGGAACTGAATTCAGCAGATAGTTATGATAAACTATTGCCCCTTTTCCATTAGTACCAGTACGGACCGACTGGACCCGACTTGGCCCGGTTCTGAGGCTTTTCCATTAGTACCGGTACTTAGAACCTGTTACTATTTCCAGTACCCATGGCTCTGTGGTTCTAACCCGAACGAAGAGGCACTAAAACGTGACGTCAGAACACTGTCGGTCACTGATTGGTCGGGGGCGGAGTCACTGGATCCTTCAGAAACTTTTCAAAACAATGATCCTCCATTTGCAATTTCTCGGACTGGAGCAGCGGCTGGACTTATTTTAAAAACATCAATGACAACATCTTGGTCTAATGCTGATGTTTTTTGTGCTTGGTGGCCGGTGGAAACACAACCTGTACTGTACCGAGTAGAGTAGAGCCGTGATGTACCAGTACTACAGGTACTAATGGAAAAGGGGCATATAAACACCTGAAACTGACTCTCAGAGAATGTGTTGGGGGAGAGAATTAAAAGTTAGACACACATCTCTGCTATAATCTGAGACATAAATATTTGTCTTAGCATTAATAACTTTTATTTTAAACTAAAGCAGCACAAACAGCCTCCGTGATAGAAACTCAGTCGGCTGCGTGTCTCTTTCTTTGACCCAGAGTTTGGTCACGCGTGCAGGTTGCACATGTCTGTACGATGATAAGGACGCTCCGAACACATCAACGCTTCAACAAATTTAGATTTTTGAAACAAAAATTCCAGGTTGGGGTGGGGGTGATGGTATCTGCCCTGGCTGCAGTGAATCATCACGTGCCAACAAATGCATTTAATAATTTATTGCAGATCACTCATGAAGAGGCGGGCGGTTCTGTTAGGGTAGTGGAGTGTCCTGCTTTGCTTGCTGCAGGTGAGAAACCCGCAGTTTGTCTCTGCTGCTCACAGCCGGACACGCCCTGTTCTGATTCTCTTTACTGCTTGAAAGCAGCATCAGTTTAATCCCTGCATCACGTCTGGACGGCTTTAAAGACCACAACAAAACACTTTTTCTCCATCGTCATATGAATATGACGGAAATCAGTCCCTGCAATGTTCAAAATGACAGAAATACGTCGCAGCGATGGAAAACTAATCCAATAGGCGACTACAATCATTATGACCCAACAAATGCCTCAGTCAGATATGCCACACATGTATTTGACCTCGGGCTCAAGCACATTCACCTTTAGTTTTACGTTCTATCCTCTCCCTGGGACGAACTTCTTCCTCCGACTCCACTTCACTGTTGGAAGAATGCTCAGACTCGTCCGACCACGGGTTCTTCTTTGGCTTCTTGGCAACTGGCTGGAACTTTAGAGTGGTCTGCTTGCCAGATTTTGAAACTCCTAGGGGGAAAAAAAGTTTTTAAGTGCTGGAATCTAATTGAATAAATTTATTAAAAACACCAAAACAAAGACAAACATTTTTGTTAGTGAATATGCCGACATCCTCCTGTTAGCTGCTGGGTTTGTTTCCACAGCAAATAAAGTTTATCAGCTTTTTTTCTTCTTCTGCTTTATCTTAGACCTCAGTGCTGCATTTGATACAGTTCATCACAATATTCTACGACAGAGGCTTGAATAAGATACTGGGAATACAGGAACAGCTCTAAAATGGTTAAAATCATATTTATCTGATAGATTCCTGTTTGTAAATGTAAATAATAAATCTTCATCATACACCAAATCTTACAAAAATACTTGATAAGACAGAAAATTCAAAGGAAAAAAAGCAGTCACATTTTGACAGTTTGGAGTAAAACACTACAACTACTCTTGCACATCTGCTGAATGTGAACATTTATGAATTAATTTGATCTACTTAAGCCATTCTCACCTTTAGCCTTGCTCACTCGTGCGATCAAAGAAAGTTCCTTATGTGGTTCGACGTTCTCCGTGTCTTCGTCAAACTCCATGCTCCTCACCAAATCTTCATTCTGAAATGAAGCGCCGCTTCAGTTTCTGACTATCTCAGTATTTACATTCGTCTTGTGGGGTTTTAATACTAGATACAACTGTGTACCTTCACTTTCTTGCCTCTCTTGCCTTCTCCTTTCTTCACAAGCGCCTTCTTGTTAGCGTCAGCTTTCATCGCGCTGGTGACGCGAGGAACCACACGGCGGCCCTGTGGTGTGGGCAAAGTCTCCTGCTTCACCTTCACAGCTCTGCCTTTCCCTGCTCCCTTTACAGGCATCACGGCATTCTCCTTTTCCTTGGCCTCAATGCGCTGCAGACAAACGCATTGCAAAGAGTCCAGGTTAAAATTAAAACGCTTCCTGTAAACTTAATAATCACACCACTGACGTGAGCGTCCACACTTCAATCGTCACCGTTAACAGAAAGAATGCACCCGTCTCCTGCTTTTCCCCACCTCAGTAACTCACGGCACATGCGCAGTAGGCTACTTACAACTTAACCTCCCCTCTTTCTTCAAAGAATACATAACAGAACAAGTTCTGTAACATTTTGATATTACTTAACTTATCTGAACTTAACATGCAAGTAACACCAGTTGTTTGATTTCATTTTTTAATCTTTAAATTGCCATTCCCCTTCACTAAGGGGCTCTCAGTAGTCCACGTGCAGATGCCCCCACTTTAGCTACGCAGTTAGCACGCTGCTCTTTGCTTGATGTCCATATGACTCCTTGAATTATTCCCGAGTCGATAAGTTCTTCGATGCTGCTTATCGAGTCAAAGCCTCTTTTCAGTTCCAGATTTTGTAGACTTGACAGCATCGAAGAGGGAATGGTTGTCTGTTACACAGGTAATGGACAGGATGCGAGTGCCATCACAAACCATGAGCTTTGAATAGAGTGTGGCTAGAAAGACAGCACCATCTATCCCATCTTCAAATGCCAACATATCTCCAGCTAACATGCTTCATACCACTCTTCTGGTGCCATCTCTTCATGTTCGCTTTCAAAATCATTGTTCCTCTAGTGCTGCTGCTGGTGTCTTAAAAAGATGAAAATCTGTTTTAATGATTTTCTGTTTTTATTTAGTTTCTTCCCGTTTCACTTGGGTTTCATTAACTTTTCTTAGCTTAGACTGGTGTATTCGGACACATGTTCCACCATGCCTGACAAATATTACACCATAACCACACCTGGACCTTTCCACTCCTGACTGTCTGTACGTTTATAATGGATTTTGTCTCTTGTTTCATATTTGTCATCAGTGAACCACAGTTGTTTTTGAAGGGCTCTTGTATCCTCTCAGAACATTCAGCCTCTGCAAGCTTTTCTCATGCCACGCAGTGTTGCAGTGTGATGGCCCATCCTTGTACTAACATCACTTTCCAACGCTTCAGTCAGGACTGAAGGCAGGTTTGGGTTTTGTCCAAAGACAAGCTGATGGAGCTGTAGCCGTGTACATTGTGCACGCTGATTTTTGCCATCAAAACCCAGTCCAGAGCCATTTTCCAGTCACATTTGTTGTCTCTCTTTACCTTCAGTAACATTTCTGATCTGATTGTCTTTCCAAGAGGCCGTTGCTCCATGGACTGGATCCTGCAGTGGTTTTAACCTCAATGTTAAAATGTTCAGCCATGTCTCTCACGTCTTAATTGTTAAATTCACCTCCATTGTCACTGAATAATGTGCGTGGTGGAACATGAATGCTTATCCAGCAGTGAATAAAGTGCTTCACCATCTCTTTGGGTCTTTTTGTGGTGATAATACTCCCTGAACTGGACCTTGTAAATGTTTTGATGGCATAGACACCACAGTCCTGGCTCAAGCTGACGCAGGTCCGCAGCTAGTCTCATTATATGTTGAAGCCGTGGGTAAACCCAATGCAGGTTTATGTTTCAGTTTACTGTATCAGATGCATATTTCAGTTTTTTTTTTTAAAACAATTTCCTTCATGATTGTAACGTTTTCATCATCATTGTTGCCTGAGCAAGACAAAGTTTTTGCAGTCTGTCAACTGAGGCATGTCCAAATTGTTTATGTAGTTTTAGCAGAACTGCCTTAAAAAAAAAAAAAGAAAAAAAAAGCTGAGTCCAGCTTGGTCAAAAGAACGATCATTCCCGTATCGACGTTGACACGTGCTCCGCAGCCATTTCCAGGGCACTTTCCCTTGCTCTTCCTGATAGCGTCAGAGTAACCACTAGAGCCTGCTTCTTTTTGTCCAAGTCGGTAACGAGCCTCCAGATTTCAATCTCATTTTTCCAACTTTGATAAAAACGTCTTCTCATTGAAAGGTGGAGGAACTTTGTAATTCCAGCAGCGGCCATCCTCTGCTACCAATTGTAAACTCAGTAATCACACCACTGACGTGAGTGTCCACACTTTAATTGTGGTCATTAACATAAAGAATGCACCTGCCTCCTGCTTTTTCCCCACCTCAGTAACCCACGGCACATGCGCAGTAGGCTACTTACAACTTAGCTCCCACTCCAAATGAAACCTTTGCAGAGAAAACGAGCAAATACCTCCAGTTCCTCTGAGAAAGCAGCGAGGTCTTCCTTCCACAGGTCTGCTGGAGCCTTTTTCTTCAACGTGTTCAGTTCTGTCAGCTAAAGGAGAGCGTTTGAGTCAGGTTTAGATTTGTTGTCGTTTGGAATAAGACGGTATCTGACAGGAAGTAAAACTCACCTTAGCATCCCTCTGTTTGCACAGCTCCTCTTTCTTCTCCTTGGTCAAGAACCACATGGGCATGCTCAGCAGGTAGTTGTAGTCGGGCCCGCTGTTGTCCTCGTTTTCTCTTCCTTCCTCCTCATCCTCCAACTCCTCCTCATTCTAAAAAATAAACAAAAAAGGTGAGGATTTTGAACAGTTTCATTGTCTTGAACTTGACTGTTACAGAACGATCTACCTTATCTTGAGCCTGTTTCCAAGCTTTAACGGGGTCCGAGTCGTAGCCCATTTGTTGAAGCATCCGAATGAGCTCCTTTTTGGGTTTGTTCTCTACAAGCAGATGGTTTTATTAACTTTGTAAGGGAATCTTATACAACGACACCAAGTTGTTTTAAAAGATCATTTTATAAAAAAAGGTTTTTGTTGTTCAAAACACAAAACTAACTACTAACCAATGACCAGAGTGCCCTGGATTTTCTCCAGGATGAAACGGGCCTGGTTGGAAAGTTTAGCGCTCTCTGCCCCGAGCATGCCGACCAGCCAGTCTTTTCTCAGAACGTAGTACTTCATCCTCAGCTCAAAGAAGTCTCTGAGGATATCTTGCACAGACTCGTACTTTTTCAGGCTACCCACATGGTCAAACAGAACCTGGGGGGAAAAAAGAAACCGTAAGGTTGCGTGCAGTTTTATTTGTTTTAATAAATAATTTTGCATGAATTCACAAAGGAGCATCCATCCCTTGCTGTGAACAGAGAGCTTACCATGGAGTTGCAGGTGAGAGGGCTCTGCAATTTGAACACTTTATGGAGGCCGGCAGCCTCCACCTCCCTCAGCTTCTCTTCGGTCATCTTGACAACAAACTTCACTGTGGTGTCAGTGTGATATTCTTTGTAGTCAGTGATCAGTGGAGGAACCTTCTCTGTTCCATTCAGCATCGGCTCCAACACGTTCTCCTTGTACGCCTAAAATAAACATTTAGGTTTACATGTAGAAATAATGCACAAAACTGAATTTAGACTGAATGTTGATTATGTGATTAAAATGCATTTTGTTTATAAATATCTTAAACATCACCCTTTAAAGACTAACCTGTGTCCAGGATTTGACAGGCAATTCAGAGATTTCAATGGTTTGTGAATCAATGATGGACACCTCTCCATTATTCATGTACTGGTTGTCCATCACATGCTCAATGGTGCCTCTGAAACCTTTGTAGTTTGGAAGCTTTAAGGAAAGAAATCTCAGTTATTGACTTGTGTACACACACAAACACAAAGTGGATTTCAGAAACCCACTCTTTATGCCTCACCATGTGCAGAGGTTCCTCGCCGCTGAGCATACGGTGGATGTTGCTGATGATCTCACGGATGTCATAGTTGGGGATCTTGCTGGCCCAGCCTGTGCCAATCCCTTCGGCACCGTTCACCAGCACAGTGGGGATAATGGGAATGTACCATTCAGGCTCCACACGCTGATTATCGTCGTAGTTGTATTTGAGCAGGTTGTCGTCCACCGGTGGGAAAACAAGGCGGGCCAACGGACTGAAGATGCACGAAGTTGAAACAATTCAGAGCCACTGCATAAACCACAGAACAGCTTTGAGGTTTATCGTCTGTGATGTGCTTGCTTACCTGAGCATGGTGAAGATGTATCGAGGGCTGGCAGAATCTTTCCCACCATGCAACCTGGTTCCAAACTGTCCCAGAGGTTGCAGCATGTTCATGTTGTTGCTTCCCACAAAGTTCTGGGCTAAACCGATGATCGTCATCATCAGAGACATCTGAAAAAATGGAAAAAGAACTCCAATAAACCACAGAACATGTTGGGGGATTGAATCTGTATAATGAATGCTAAAAGACACTAAAGTAACAATTCTGTTCATCTCACCTCTCCGTGGTGGTAGGCGGACATCTCAGCCACGGAGCCAGCGAGCTGAGCAACCTTCACCTCACGTTTGTCATTCCTCTTAAAGCAACAGAACAACACCTTCCTCTGACCTGGCTTCAAACCTAAATCACACACACAGAGCAGATTAACATATTAAACCACCTGTCAGACAGGTATAAAACAACAGTATATTTATTCAAAGTTAAGTTTGCTCTTGATAATATTTCACACACCATCTACCAAGCAGGGAATGGACCTCTCGTTGTCAGAGTTGGAGAAAAGCACAAGCTCCTTGTTGACAAAGTCGTTGTAGGACAGGAACTTGGTTGATTGACCGTACAAGTAATCCTATATAAAACAAACAAAAAAGCATGAAATTAGACTAAACTGAACACAAAACTAAAGTCACACGAAGTAATTGGAATAGAGGTTGTCACCTCTGGAAGGTTGTGCTCCCTGCGCTGACGCCTGTTGTTCATGAAGTTTGTGAGCCATTCTTTTCGCTCCTCCACTTTCTTTTTGCTAAAGGCCTAAATACAAGAAAACGAGGACAGATAAAGTTGTAACACAAAATAATAATTGAAAAACAAAACCGAATTAATAAGATATTGGTGTCAGAAAGTCAAAGACATCTAAATTAGGACTGAGCTCTTACAAGGGTGATAGCTTCATCGTCCTCAGGCCCAGAGTACTTGAACGGGATACGGTGTCTCTGCATATCAGAGAAGTACTCCTTGGCTTCCTGGGATGTGCTGGTTCCCAAACCTGGATGGGCAAAAGCAGCGCAAAAGATTCAGTGCAACATAGTTTTAACAATCGTCTCATCACGACATTACCAAGGTATGATGGGTAGCTTACTTGTCCACATTTTACTACCACACAGGGGTTTGTAACAAACCTTTGTAGTATTTGATTTTCCAGGATTTGTGGTTGGCCTGGTTGTCCTTCCATGCTTCAAACTCAGGGATGCTGTAGAAAGACATCTGTGTTTTCTTAAAGGATGCCTATAAGAAAGGAAACAGACTGTGAACTAAAACTTGTTAAAAGAAGTGAACATTACCTTTTATCGATTTTTCCACACCCTGTCTTATTATATATTAATTACAAAAATAATCAATACAAAATGACGTAATTGACAATAAGTATTCTGGAGTTTTGACACTAGATGGCGGTATAGTTCTGAATGTTGAGTCTGTACAGAAAACCCTAGATGACAATCAGCCCCTTTTCCACATCATTTGCTGCACTCTTTAGAAGTCTGCAGTAAATGTAACTTGTGGTGCAGCTGGCATGAACCATTTCATCCACATCAGAACAAGACTTTTACTGAGCCCGTTTACCTTGATGATGGGTGTAATGAACTCTTCCAGAAAGTTATGGCGGAGCAGTGACGGCCAGTTGTGATGAATGAAGTTGATCAACAAGCCCTTAATGTGAGAGCCATCTTGATCCTGTTACAACAACAGTCCGGTCACATTTTAGGAACAAAAGCAACAATAAATGCACTTACAGGCTGAAGTAGTGTGGCATATATGTGGTATATTTATGAATGTGCATATGCTGACAAAACAAAAAAAGATCAAACACCTGATCTGTCATGATCATGATCTTGCCATAGCGCAGACTTTTAAGGGAATCTGGGTCACTATAGTTCTTCTTGTATTGAAGGCCAAGGATCTTGATGATGTTGTTGATCTCAGCGTTTTCCATAATCTGAGAAAAAATAATGACATTATATCTTCTCTTTCTCTCGTTTTACTGGAACATAAATAGATGAAGCTAGGTATGACGTTATGACTGAACAGAGTCACTGTGCCCTTCACAGAGCAGCAGCAGTAATTTGGAGTCATCTAAAACCTGAAAAATGGAAAAGAAGATTGGAGTTTGGATTCACCTGTTTGTGTGTGGCTTCCCGGACGTTGAGCATTTTTCCTCTGAGGGGGAACACACCATAACGATCCCTTCCTATCACCCCCAGCCCAGACACAGCAAGCGTCTTGGCCGAGTCTCCCTCAGTGAGGATCAGTGTGCAGCCAATGGAGTTCTTCCCACCTGTCAGAAAATAGGATTTAAAAATGAATGTATGACGTTTATTACGTAGCATCTTCACAATCCTCATTTATAATACAACTAAAATACAAAAGTATTATGGGATACAGTACCTGCATCATTAGCATCATCCAGCTTTGGCACACCTTTGATTTTTGTGTGCTTCACAGCAGAGCATTTCTTGTTGAGCTGAGACTGAGCCTTGAACTTCACCCAGTTCATGATACTTTCCACAATCCCACAAGATGTTGCCTGAAAGGGACAATAGAAACATTTAGATAAATGATGAAATCAGTGTATATCCAGGAAAGCAAAACAACTTTTGGTTAACTCAGCACCTGTTTAATGAACTTGTCACTTAGAGGACAAGCAGAGCCAAAGCTCTTCTGCTGCAGTGTCATGTTCTCTTTAGTCTGAGAGTCAAAGGTGGGGTTCTCAATCAGGCAATTAACAAACAGCCACATGTGGTTCTTCACCTATAAGGAGACAGATGGAAGTAAACAATACATGCACTTTGTAACTAAACAAAAACAGGATAAGCACAGCAATTAAAATCGTTTACCTGGAAAGGTTTGACAGCTACACCAGCTTTGTTCTTCTTCTTCACCACTTCAATGAGCTTGCCAACAACCTGGTCAGCCACATAATCAACATGTCTTCCACCCTAAGATGCAAAAACAAGAGCCCATTTACAGGAGATGTTATAAATCCTAATCAGACACAAAGTGGCTGGAGAGCAGCCAGACTTGTACTTAGCTGACAGAAAACTGAGTCTTCTACTTCACTCTAATTTTACTGTAACTGTGCTCCAAGAATCAAACTTTCAAAAAGCTTTCATTAGTTTTTTTTTTAAACCAGACAACTTAAACTTTCAGTTAATGATTTGGAAATGAAGCTGCAACTCATACATATAGTATTTTTACTATGTACTGTGAAATAATAAAATAAGTCACTACCTTTGTCGTAGCAATACTGTTGACAAAACTGACTTGCTGGAAACCTTTCTCACTCATGGTGAGGCAGACCTCCCAGCGCTCGTTGACAACATCATGGATCACAGTGAGGGGACCACCCAACTCATCCACCTTGTCCTTCACGTACATGTCCACGTAGCTACGGAAACCTGTAACCTAGAATTGACAAGAAAGTCTCACACTTTGTTATAAGCAGCATGTTTACAAAAACTAGAGGATGGCAACAATGTCTCTACAATATCAAAGTAACCAATCATCTTGAGCTACTGACAGCAAATTTTTTTTGTAATGTCATAACGTTAATAATCAGATATGGCATGATAAAATCATCTTATGTTAAATGACAGAGGTAACAGGCCAGGACTCTGCAGTCTACACTCATCTGCAGACGGCAGTCACTTTGTCAGGGATGAAGATGTTCACATCCTTGATAAAGAGGAACGATGGTTTGAGAGAGGAGTGAAGGAAGCCATATTTGTGAAGAGAACCCGTCTATCTTTAAACAGGGGCGGAGGTCTCCGTGTTCAACCATCACCCTCTTACAATGCTGTTATTGCTAGCATCACTCAGCCCCCTTTTCATTCAACCTTTATTTATGCAGGTTAGTCCCAGTGAGCCATGAGGACTCATTTACAAGAGAGACCTGAAGCCTGACCAAAGACCCGAGACTCCTATGAATAGCAAGCGGCCATCAGGGCACCAACGACCAATTGCTGGGCTGACGGTCCACCTTTTACATGAGAATAGCTAGTTCTGGCTGTCAGCAGCACCACTGTGAGAAGGTGCTATTTAGGTCCCCCGTTTACACAGACACAGCCGTGCTGGCACTTAATCGCCGTGTGTAGAATGTAAATATTTACTTGGAGTGAAAAACATGGCTAGCAGAAAATCTTCGTGTGGACTCATGTCAGTTTATTGCTTAAGCAGTTCGTTATACTCCAGTACCGTTGTTGTTGATAGAAGTATGCAGTTTTGTCACAAATGCATGAAATATAGCCTGCAATGTGCATGTGTCACACGTGCTGAGCATTTCACACCCCTGCGAAGTGTTTCCAAGAAAATATCCACTCTGCGAGACCTGGATTCAGAAACATTTGGTTTCAGAGAAAACGAGAGCTGTTGTGTAAATGAACGGCCGAACCGCAGCAGAAAAGCTGTGGTTTCACTCAAAAAACGTGTCGTGGAAACGGGACCTAAGAAGACCGAGTTTGTGGTAGCACCTCAGACTGAAGAAGTCTTTCGGATAAAAGACGAACGTTTTAATATAGAATCCATCCAGAGGACCAGACTCACAGAAGCTATCATGTGTGTGTTTTGTTGAAAAAGGTTTAAACATCTCATTTCTACAGGATTAAACTGAAATGTTTATTCATGAGTGAGAAATCTCAGCACCATTTTAGGACAAGATACAATATATATAGAAAAACTAATTTTCTCTGGAATAAGCATTACAGTGAGGAACACCTCCCATCAAAAAGTTATCACAGCCTTCAGCTGCCATGGCATTTCCTACAGACTTTAATATAAATAAGTCCATTTCCCTCTTGTGAAATGTTTTCAGAAAGCTGGCCAATAAAAAGTAAACTCTATGAAACTGAAAAATGAAGGAGCACAGGAACTTACTGGCAACTTCCTGCCATTGAAGAACACCTTGACCCCCTTTGAGGATCCAGCAACATCGTATGCCCTCCTGGTCATCAGAGCCACTGTATCTTTGTCCAGGATGTTCATCTTAAACTTGGGCAGATCTGGTTTGAAGGTGATGCATGTGTACTCTTCTCCATCAAATGGTTTGATGTTATTATCACCTGCTCTGCCCATGTTATCATACCAAGTCTGTGGAAAACACAAACATACTATAAAATAAAAAAAATCCTTATTAAAGAGGGAATAAAAACACATGACAAACTGGTCTACCTACCTGCTTGAAAGTCTTCTTTGACTCTTTACAAGCCGTCTCCACTGTGAACTTGGTACTGAAGATATTGCAAAGCTTAGCACCGTATCCATTACGTCCACCTAAAAAGCAAGGTTCAATCTCAGTTAGATGCCATTTGTGTTAGACTACTGCATGTGCAACCTTCAATTCATGAGATCTCTATAAACAAGTTTTCTATCGGTTCATTTGATCATCTTTAATGGCAACAGAGTATATAAATTAAAATATAACAAGTTTTTTAATGACATATTGCACTCAAACCACAGTAAACCAGTCTCACCAGTGACTTTCTTTTGATCATCATTGTAGTTACTGGACGTAAGGAGCTGTCCAAAGATGAGAGCGGGCACATAAACCTTCTCCACCTTGTGCTCCACCACAGGAATCCCCTTCCCATTGTTCCATACACTGATGGTGTTGTTTTCCCTAAGAAGAATACACACATTTAGCTAAGCGCTACATTGTTCTATCAAGAAAATGTATATTTATATAGACTTAAAGGAAGACATGGAGAATTACAGAATATCTGAATATACTGTAACCTAGTGGTGGTAACATACTACTCACACATCAATGTTGACTTTGATGCAGGACATGTTTTTATCTCTCTGCTTATTGTCAGCTGCATTTACTATGAGGAAAACAAAGGTGAATAAGAAAAGATCCAACAAGATGAGCCACATTACATACGTTTTTAAATACTGTAAAGCTTTTGGCTTACCGAGGATCTCATCAAAAATCTTGTAGAGACCAGGCACAAAAGTCACATCACGGCAGTTCAGTCCAACATTCTCATCATAAACCCACATTTGCTAAAAAAAAAGAAGAAAAAGATAAAAGATTCAAAGAAAGTACAATTTTACATCCTGCAGCACTGAAGTGAAAAAAACAACAACTACAAACAATAGTTATTTACATTTTCCCTCCAATTTCTACAAGATTCACTCACGAACATAAATGTATGTAGATACAAAAAGAAAGGTTTAGAGGATTTTCTGACCTGAGTGACGGGCTCTACAGAGCCGATGTAGGAGTCCGGTCTGAGCAAAATGTGCTCCAGCTGGGTCTTCTTCTGATAGATCCTCTCCACAGACAGTCGCTTCGGATCTTTCTTCGCCTTTTCCACCGGCTTGTTTTCGAAGAAGGCCTGACAAAAACATTATGAAATAATTTAATAAACTCCTGAAAAACCTGTATAAAGGTGGAATGAATAAATGAATGATTTAAAAAAGTTAAATCTGGTCCTCTGGACATTCAAAAAAACAAAACAAAGCAAATCAACAAAAAAATGTAGAAACGTTTCGTCTCTCATCCGAGACACTTCCTCAGTCTGAGGAGCTGTATTCAGCTCAGTCTCTTAAATAGCACCGTCTCAGAGTGGATCAACCAGTTTTGCTGCTGACAACCAAAACCAGCTGATCACATGCTCAAGAAGGACCATCAGCATAACAATGGATCATTAGCACACTGATGGCTGTTTACTACTCACAGAGGGCTGAGTGATACTAGCAATCACAGCATTGTAAGAGGGGGACAGTTGAACCCGGAGGCCTCCACCCCTGTTTAACGATGGACGATTTCTTTTCACAAAGATGGCCTCCTTTACTCCTCTCTCAAACCATCGTTCCTCTCTGTCCAGGATGTGAACATCTTCATCCCTGAAAGAGTGACCGCTGGCCTGGAGATGAGTGTAGACCGCAGAGTCCTGGCCTGATGATGTTGATCTTCTGTGCTGGGCCATCCTTTTGGCCAGTGGCTGTTTAGTTTCCCCGATGTAAGACTGATCACAGCCCTCCTGACACTGAACAGCATACACAACATTGCTCTGTTTGTGCCGGGGGACTGGATCTTTGGGATGAACCAGTCTTTGCCGTAATGTATTTTGGGGTTTAAAAGCCACTGGGACGTTATGTTTAGAAA